TGGACCTCACCCCATTCTTAAGTGGTCCGTAAATGGGGAGTACATAAGCGCACCAGCATGCCTACCATCCCTGTCTTACTGTCCACATTTATCTGTATTTACTTCCTTTGTTCATATTTATGTTCATACCTATCCTTGTTATCTTGTACATGTTTGACAAACAAACAAACAAACAAATATCCAGGTGCGGATCCTGTATTTTAGGATGAACACAGAGAAACTGAAGTATGGAGAGGAATGTTTAAGGAAAAACTAACAAGGAAATGTTGGAGGCATTGAGTACATTTAACCTGGAGAAGGAAAGACTGCAGGATATAAACATCTTTACAAACCACGAGGGTGCTGAAATGGACACATGTGGCAAGAGATAATTGTACAAATTATATATATTAGGTACTTTTGCATCATTTCATGTCATGACCTGAGGCAAGTACATTATCCATGTTATTTGGATGACACATTGCATGTTGTTGCATGCTCTTAATATACAAAATAATGCCTTTAATATTTTTAAAATCCTAAAAGACATTACAGATATCAGACTTTGGTGTTTATATTTAAAGGACTGAAGCTGAAAGAGCAACTGAGGGTCAGAGGTGGTTTAAAAAAAGGGAATAAGAATAATTCGTGCGGGCAAGTCTTAATTATTTCCTGAGCTTTAATTGCTTGCTAGGAATGTCAAGTATTTAGACTCATAATCTTAGGTTCATGAGAAGGAGTCTAGAAATATGTTAATCGTATTTCTGCATCAATGATGACAGACACGTCCTTTAGAAAGAAGATAAATAGGCAAGAACTATTGTTCCTTTACATAAAGTATAACAAAGAAAGAAAAAAATACTTAAAGAAAGAATCGCCTCTTCATCACAAGTATAAACAATTTAACACCTTATCATCTTCTCTTAAAATACAATAGACAATCTTTTCATCCCACATTTCATCTCTCACCTATAAACAAATCCTTAAAATCTGCCATTCAATCAGCAAAAGTCCATTAAGAATTACTAGAAATAAAATCATAACTATTTCAACCTGGATTAAATAAACTCAAATTGTATTTCTTCCTTTTACTTTTAAAAATGTTGACCTTTAATCCCTTCAAACAATGTCCTAGAGCTTGTTTTCATTTTCTTTGACCCTTCTAATAAAACCTTTCAGAACTTTAATAGATCTCTTATGTATGTCCAATATAGAACAAAGTCCTTCCTTTGATTTGCCATTTATATATTTACCTTTATTATTTTGTATTTTTTCCTCCACCTATATTTCTCTGTAACAACAACAACCCTGTTAAGTGGGTTGGACTGCGAGAAAAAATGACTTATTTTTCATTATTAAAGCATCGTCTTTGTATATCCAGTGTAATATCATTAGGGGAAGGAATGTACCATAAGGTGGCAGAAACATTAAACACAAGTATTATTCATTTTATAAACCTTTGTTGAAAACTCTGCTTGATAAAAATGTGTTAGACATTAGGAATTCCTACTCAGATTAATTTACATGTAATGCAAATAATCATACATCCTACTTAAGAATAGACTAAATTTGACTAATTTGTACTAATGCAAATTAAGATAACAGTTATCATACCTGTACATCAGTAGTGCGTTGCAGGCGGATCCTGCCCAGAGCACTGGGTACCGTTCCGGTACGGTGCTCTGGAGGGCCCACCTGCCCGCCCGAGCTCCTTACCTGTGCTTTAAGCTTTTTGTGCTTCTGCGCATGTGCATGGCACGTATGGCACCTGCGCAACACTCTACTGAGCAGCTGGAGTGTTGCGAAGGCTTGTGGAAGCGTCATTTGATGCTGCAATACATATGCGCACTGCGCAGGGGTGCACATGTACCACGCGCACCACACACATGCATGTGGGTGATTCTGGGACCGTTCCAATCTGGAACTCACCACTGCTGTACATGTATCTGATCATGTACGTACTAGTAATAATACAGCTAGGGTTAGAATTTTCTATCCCTTTCCCCTACTTGGGCTACTTAATTGTACATTAATTTTCAATCATCAGAAAAAAAAAACTTTTACTTTCACTCCTTAAGTTTGGAAGGGAAGTGTTGGTTTAAAAAATTATACAAGGCAAAATCTCTAATAAATCAGAGCAGTGGTAGGTTTCAAATTTTTTTAGAACCTCTTCTGTAAGTGTGGCCTGCTTTGTGGGAGTGGCTTGCTAGCCATGTGACCAGGTGGGAGTGGCTTGCCAGCCATATGATCAGGTGAGAGTGGCTTGCCAGCCATGTGACTTGGTGGGTGTGGCCAACTTGTAAAATGTGGTGAAACTCACTTAACAACGCTCTTGCTTAACAACCAAAATGTTGGCTCAGAAACTCTGGCATTTGAAGCACGCACGTATTAAAGATGTCAAATTACAAGACCCTTGCACTCCTAACCCTTTAGGGAAAAAAACCCAGGGGTGTTCAAACTTGACAGCTTTAAGACTTGTGGACTTCAACTCCCAGAATTCCTCCTCTCGCTCTTCATCTTGATGATGTGCGGACGGGTGGGGGGAGGGAGCTGGAACTGGTTCTAAACTGCACTGTAGATTTGTGGAACCTCTTCTATAGAGAAGGTTAGAACTGGCAAGAACCCACCCCTGAGTCAGAGACTATAGAAACAGAGAAAAAAACAAAAATATTTTTGGTAGTTTTCCAGTTTTTATCTTTTGACTTTTTTTGGTATTCCATGTGTTATTTATTTTTCTTCTTTTTCCCCTTATGATGAAATTGTCATCTGTCTGAAACCTGGGTGTCCATTCCAACTTTTTGGCTTCTCTGGGCCGCACTGAGTATAGAGGAATTGTCTTGGATCGCATGTAAAATATATAGTATAGTTAAGGCATATAAATCACTATTTGGTGCTACATGCAGCCTGTGGGTGGTGGGTGTGACATGCCTAGCCTAGTTAGAGTCTTTGGGGATTCGATAAAATAATGACTGTAGTCAGAGTCCATTATGCAAGAAAACCATATGAACTCCTGGTGTCCTTTCCTTGTTGCACTTTATTACAACATGCAAATTAGTGTGTGCGTGTGTGTTTATGAGTGTGTTTGTTTATGCATAATGCAACCATGGCAACTTTAAGATGTGTGGACTTCAACTCCCAGAATTCCTTAGCTAGCCATGCTTAAAATTCACACATATTAAAGTTGCCATGGTGGCACAGTATGTATAAAACTTTATCTCTCCACTCCAAAATACCACCTGTCTTGCTTACCAAATGGAAAAAGGATTTTGAAAAAAAGTTTTTAAAAGTTTTTTTTTCTTTACTTCACTTCCAACTATTCTATTCTTACCGTAGATTTATTTGTGTGCATTTGAACAGGACTAAGGTGTTGTTGTTTTTTTGTCTCATGTAAAGTATCTGTGACCGTATCAAAGGTAGAATTCTGAGTTGTAGCCTTTTCTATTTGTAGCTCTAGTTATTTCCCCACTGACTTTGCTTATAAAAAGGTAGCAAAAGGTGATGATATGATCCCGGGACACTGCAACCATCATAAATATGAGTCAGTTGCCAAGTATCTGAATTTTGATCCTGTGATGTTACAATGGCCATGTAAAAAAAATGGCCATGTCCCTTTTTTCAGTGCCGTTGTAGTTTTGAAGGGTTACTAAATGAACTTTTGCAAGTCGAGGACTCCCTATCCAGTAGCAGCTAGAGTGAGTTGTTGAAAAAAAGGCGGGGCAAAATGTTGGTAAATAAATCTACACATGGATGATGAAATAAGCTTTGTAGTTTTCAGACCCCAAACTCCTTGTTAGCTGCAGCTCTTTCCTCTGCAAACAAGGCATCCAATTCTATTTGAATCATCATCATCATCATCATCATCATCATCATCATCATCATCATCATCATCATCATCATCATCATCATCATCATCATACTAGAGCTGGAAGGGGCTTTGGAGGTCTTCTAGTCCAACCCCTTACTCAAGCAGGAGACCATTTCAGACAGGTGTCTGTCCAATCTTTTCTTAACAACCTCCAGAGATGAAATACCCAAAACTTCTGAAGGCAAGCTTTTCCATTGGTTGATAGTTCTCACTGTTGGGAAGTTTCTCTTTAATTCCAGGTTCCTTCTCTCCTTGATTAGTTCCCATCCATTGTTTCTTGTCTTGCCTTCTGGTGCTTTGTAAAATAAATTGAACCCCCTCTTATTTGTGGTAAACTCTCAAATACTGGAACACTGGTATTGTCCCCCCCAGTCCTCCTTTGGCTAGAGTAGATTGGCCATATCCAATTCGTGCAAACATTCTTCATAGGATTTTGTCTCAAGGCCTTTAATCATCTTAGTTGTTTCTCCTTTGCATTTTTTCCAAAGTCTCAACAATATTGACCCAAAGGTGTTTTTTCAAGCAGCAACTGGACTTTCTTGCCGTTTTTTTTAAAGACGTTTCACTCCTCATCCAAGAAGCTGTCTTCAAAGAAAAACCACAGAGTCCAGTTGCCTCTTGAAAAAGCATCTTTGGGACAACCATGACCTGGATGACTGAGAATCTCCCTAGAGCAGGGATCACCAACCTTTTGGACCTCAGGGACCACTAAATTCATAATTTTAAATCCCGTGGGCCACTAGTAAAAAGATAAATCGCATTTAGGGCAATATAAAAAAATGCAAATAATTTTTCTGAGGACCACCAAAAGTTTTCTCGCGCACCACCAGTGGTCCGTGGATCACCAGTGAGTAACCTCTGCCCTACAGTCTGTCAACATTATTCAAGGGTGTTTTTTTTTTAAGTGTGTTTTTCCAAATAATGTTTTTTAAACTCCAGAAGCGAAAATTGAAAGTATTGGGTAAGTTTCCATTTCCGACCCCCCACCCCCCACAGGCCGTCGGCAACTGAAAATTCCCCTGACGTCACCACATCCTTCGCGCGCCCCTCCCCTTCTAGAGTCCTCACGTCCCTCTCCCTGTGCGGCTCTGGCCACGCCCCGTACCTTCAACGTCACAATGCGATGACGTCTTTCCATTGCGGAACGAGTTTATATAAAGCGCCTGCGGGTTTCGCTTTGCCATCAAACATTCCGTTCTAAATCTACACAGGAAAAGCAAAGGTCATTCTCGATAGGGCGAAATGGTTCGTGCCGAGAAGAGCTGCTGTTTTGCAAAGCCTACCGTCCGGCCGCTTATTCGCGTTTATCCCGCGGTTACATGTTGGAGCGAGTTAATTACTGGCTAAAAATCCACAGGTAAGAGGGTTAAAAAAACCATTAGACTTTTCTTCCCCCCGGGGCGGGGTTGGGTGGGGAGATCCCAAAATGCTGCCCCCCCCCCCAATGTATTGGGACTCTTGGGTGTCCTGGACCCCTTGGTCTATTGTGGGGTTCGATCTCCTGCTTATTCCCGGCAAAAATGCGGGTTTCCAAGCTGATTCCCCGCCTCCACACCCCGTGTGTTCTGTTTCTCGCGTGCTTTAGGCACTTCCCGAAGGCAACGCCTGTTTTCAGAAAAGTTCTGGTTTCCCCGAACTCGGGCCAGGTGTCCCGGCTTGGCATTATGATAGCCCTGCCACCTCCGCCCTCTGGGTTGCCTTCCCAGGCATCCACCCAAGCGATCCGCCCTTTTTAATTGTTGGTAATCTTCCCTCTCGCTTCGTGCGGTTCTCAGAACTGTTTTTCCTCCGTTGTCACAAGCGTGGTGGGTCGCCTTCCCTCGATCCTGGATCCCCCATCTAAAGCCTAGATGGTTCTTGGCTTTTGCCTCTCTCCCCCGCTCACCCCCCCCCCCAAGGTGCTGTCCTTTTTGCTCTGGTCCTTCAAAATATCATTGCTATGCCACTCTCTAATTTTCATGCAAGGTGAATTATTCAAGTCTTGGTCTGTGGTTCTCCAAAGTGTAGGATGGCTTATCCAACCCTGGTGCCTTCTAGAAGGGTTAGTTGAGATTCCTCATCCAAAGAATATTCCAAGGTGTGTTGTGTTGTTGTTTTTGCTGTAGAATAGGGACTTTTATCGACACTCTTTTGAGTCTCTTTCTCCCTTCCCTCCCCTTTCTTTGCCCCCCACCCCACCCCCAAAGTAATCAGCCTCCTCTTCCTGACTCAGCTTCCAATTTTACCAGCCCCCTCCCCCCCCTCCTTCCAATGCTACTGTTTGTTATCCATCAAATGCTTCTTAGGAAACTCTCATTGGACCCTCCTTACTTTCCTCTTTCAGAAAGAACCAGATATCCTCAGCAAAAGCCACTTTGCAATTCTTGTCCCTCTTTCCATAATATTCCTCTACATTCCATTAGGATCTTCTCCTAGAGGATCCAAGCTCTTTGCACTGATAACTTCTGATCATTCAAATCCACCATCAAAAAGAATTTCAGTCCACAATCATTTGCAAACCTTTCTGCTCCTTTGTAATGACTGTCGCTTCTCAAACATTGATGATTCCCTTTGTGAATATAGTCCCCTCCTCCCCCCACTTCCAGATCTAACCTGTCGTGGGGTCAGAAGGGTTGTCTCTCCTCCTCTCTCCTGGCAGCTGCACACTCAGCATCCGAACTCTGTGTGTGTGTATGTATGTGCGCGCGCGGTTCCCCCCTTTCTTCCGGACTGGGGTGTTGCCAGCGTTCCAGGGGCACTTGCTTCAACTTGTCTGGGGCGCGCCCTGAATTCAGCCTACACACCTCAACTGGTGAAACCTTCCTTAAGAAAGCTGGGAGGTGAACTGCCCTACAGGTAGGGGGCAGAAGGAATTGTGCTGGAATTTGGGAGAAAGGCACCTAAGAATGTGGTCTTCCAGCCTCTTTCTCTTTCCCCGTGCCTCCACTTGCCAGCTCTTGTTTCTCAAAGCTTATTTTGAATTTGGCCTTTTGTTGAGAAAAGTGGATTAGCAAAGGAACAAGGATGCCCTGGAAGGGAATTTGTTCCACTTTGATTTTCTAAAGAATGCTGGAGTTGTGGTTTTCCAAATGCCAGAACCTGTTCCCTTTCAGGCTTCACTGGAAGTTTTTAAGAAGAGATTGGACAACCATTTGTCTGAAATGGTATAGGCCAACTCTTTCCTGAGTTGGTCTAGAACAGAGATCTTCAAACTTGGCAACTTTAAGACTTGTGGACTTCAACTCCCAGAATTCTCCAACCAGCTCTGAATTCTGGGAGTTGAAGTCCACAAGTCTTAAATTTGCAAAGTTTGGGGACCCCTGGACTGTAAGATCTCCAAGGTCTCATCCAACTCTGTTATTCTGGCTTTGAGGTTCAGCATTTGAATCTGATACCAGGAACATGACTTAGTATAAAGCAAGCATTAAATGCTCTTGTTTTCCCTCTGAAAAAAATAAAAATATTCTTGCAGACTTTGCAGTAAAAGAATATCATGCATTTTTAGTCATATTAAAAATTTGTGCCAGAATGCCAGTTATTTTTCTGGACCAAATTAAAAGGTTTTAATCGGAATAGTGTAAGAAAGTTGGTGGGAAATTATGGTTTTTCAGATGTTGTTGAATAGCAATGCCCAGAAATCTCAGATATAGCTGAAGGGTGTTAGGAGTTATGGACCAGAATATCTAGAATGAAATATAGTCCTCATCTCATGATCACAATTGGGACCGGAATTCCTGTCGTAAGTGAAATCAAATCCGATTTTATGATAGTTTTTACAACTGTTGTTAAGTGAGTCATGCTGGAGATTGGCAAAAAAGTCACAAATTGCAATCACCAAGTCACAGGCTGCTGCAACAGGTTGTAAATGTGACTTGGTAGCTAAGGTCCATAATTGCAGTCACGTGACCACAGGGGTGGTGACAGTCATTAGTGTGAGAACAGATCATGAATCACTTTTGCCAAGCCTATCATTAAAAGAATGGTTATAAGGTGAGGATTACCCATGACTTGATTTTCAATCACAGCATGACCCCTTCACTAGGTTTGCATAAAACGATCATCCTTAGAAAATATGTCAAAACATATTTTTTAACAGACTGGTCTATTACATTATTACTTATGTTAATTGATATTTCCATGTTTTCATTATTTTTATTTTGTTATTGTTTCCTGCATAAAAAGAAAAACTACTATAATAAAATGTTTGTTTGGTAGATTTGTGTGTGTGTGTGTGTATGTTTATATGTGTGTTTATGTATGCACAATACAACCATAGCAACTTTTAAGATATGTGGACTTCAACTCCCACAATTCCTCAGCCAGCCATGCTTAAAATCCACACATCTTAAAGTTGTCATGGTTTCCTGCATAAAAATAAAACGAAGACTACTATAGTAAAGTATTTGGTAGAACTATATGTGAGTAGTGTAGTTTAGTCCTAAATAGGTATATTGTTAAAAATAGCAGATGATGGGAAAGAGATCTGTATGAGACAAAGGACAGTGCTAGACTTGATGTTCTCTCTCTTCTCCCTCTCCCTCTCTCCCTCTCTCTCTCTCTCTCCCTCCCTCCCTCCCTCCTTCCCTTTACACACACACACACATATCCCTGTGGTCAAATGATCAAAATTTGGGTGCTTGGCAACTGGCATGTATTTATGATAGTCATGCTATCCTGGGGTCACGTGATCACTCCAACAAGCAAAATCAGTGTTGAAAGTCATATTCGTTTCACAGCCATATAATTGACTTAACAACTGCAGTGATTCACTTAACTATGACCAAAAAAAGGTAAAATGGGGCACAATTCACTTACCTGTCTTGTTCAGCAATAGAAATTTGGGGTTCATTATAGTTATAAGTCAAAGGACCTGTAGTTTGTTATAGTCCAACAATCTTGAGTTTCAACTTACATGTTCTTACTCTAAATTCCAACACCGATTGCTTCTTTTCAGATTTAAAATGCCTCCGTGTATCATGGACAGCCAGTTCACCTCACCCTTTGAACCCCAAAATATTCTCCTCAACAGTTGCTATCCCTTTGGCTCTGGGATGACAAAAAATCCACCTCTTGAACCAGTCAGTTACCCACCTGCTGGCACATTTTCAGTTCTTCGACATATGTTCAAGCTCACTATGGTCTGGTTGCGAAGATTTTTATATTTTTGGCAGCCTTTCTCTACAAACCTGATGAAGACTGTGTTGAGGGGCATTGCTAGAAGAGCATTGCCCATCTTAGAGAAGATAAAGAAGGCCAGAGAACTTAAAAGAAATAAAAACAACACTGAGAAGATGATGGAGAAAGACAGCTGTCAAGAACGTTGTTTTCTGAAGAGTCATACAAACCATCTTTCGGAGAGAAATTTGCTTTTAGACTGTTTTGGAGAAGACATTGAACAAGTTTTGATCGACTCAAGCAGCATTACAGTAAATAACATGCATTTGGAAGAGGAAGGGATTTCTGAGCTGTGTTTAATAAGTCCTACGATAGTATTTGATTTGAGAAATAATTGGCAAGATTCTTCAGGAAAGGACATGGAATGTGTGACTGTAAAAAGTTCTGAGCATGTCTCTCTTAAGTTGTTGGAAGAAGATACTTGCAATCCTGAAATCTTTATAAAAGAGTTGGACCTCTGTGGATGCTTAGAAAATACTTTGGACTGCTTAAATCCTAATGGACAATTAAATTTTAATAAGGGCCTTGATGAAATTTTGGAAACCACCTTCATTCCCCAGGAACTGGAGAAGAACATGAAATCTAACCAGGACCCGCCAATAGGTGGGAAACAAAGCTTAATATGTTCACTTGGTTCTTCAAAGGATGAGAAAAAACCAGAAATGAAGCAAAAGAGTGGAAAGAATGAAGCTACTTGTAACATGGAATCCCCTACTAACCCCAGTAGCTTCCAGAGTTCCCTGGTACTTTCCTTATTCTATAGTCCATTAGAAGATGAAGAAGATGACAATGATGACAGTTCAGAAGACTGGTGGAGTGAGGATGAGATGGAAGACAGTAGTAAGACCCAAATTTGCTCCGATGGCAACAATTCAGGAGACCAAGAGAATTATCAGGATATAGAAGAGGAGGACTCTGTACAGAAGATTGTTTTTGAAAATCTCTGTGGAGCTCTATCCATGAACAGTGATCCCTTACATCCACTTTGCTTTTCCAAACCTATTCAGGCCCTTACAGACTTCACCATTGCTTCACTGAATGCCCCAAACCATCAAGAAACTGTCTCTTCTTATTGGACAAGAACCAGTTCTAAACTTGAAGAATCATGTCATCTCCCAAAGCAGTCATTGCCCAGAGAACATCTAAAAGTTGAAAGAAATCAGGAGACCTACCTATGCTGCCAACCAAGTCTCAGGAAAAGCGCTTCTCCACTCCCTGCAGAAACAGTTTCACAGCAGGAAATCCAGGTGAAAAAGAAGGTGAGAGTCCTAAAATACTTATGTGTGCTCCATGAATGTGTTTGGAATGAGGATTTTCAAAATCCACCTTTGTTGTGTTTTTTTGTGGCTCCTTAATTAGGAACCATGAACACTTGTATTTCTGCTCTTGGCTGTGACTGATTGAAATTTAGACTTGCCCACATGATTATGTTTGAGAAAATGTTTGTGCTTTTTAAAACTATTTTCACCATGATGATGAAGAGTAGAGATGATACATAGTACTTTTGAGCTGTTGTTTTTGAAGCAGTACAGTAGTGGGCAAAGTTGCATCAGTTGAATTTCTTGCTGAGGTTAAAAGTGAGGATTTTAGCTCCATTTATTTATTCAGTTTGCTGACTGACTCTTTGCTACCTTGGGTGGTTTACAAAATGTGAAAAATGAAACAATCAAACAACATAAAACAAAAAAGAGTCAAAATAGCAAAAATAACTAAACCAGATTGAAAACAAAGAATAAGAAGAAAAGGGGGCTTTCACCCCTAGTTGCCAAAGATATGGGTGAAAAGTCAATTTTTGGGGGTCCATCGAAACACCAGTGGCGGGGGGGGGGGGCACTTGGACCTTGGGAAGTACCCCCTTGTAGAGAACTGTTATATGGAATCGAATAGAGAAGGCATGCTACTGGGGTCTCGATAGACAGCATTGTTCAACTGGAGAAACCTGGAGCACACAAACCCTGTCAGACTAGATTAGCCGGACAGATACTATAGGAGACAGACCCTCAATTAACCAGGTCCCAGGCTATATGGTCAATTTTGTTGGAAACTAGTCGATAACCCAGTATTGCCTGGGTATTTATTTGTAGGGGGGAAATGTCCAGACCAAATGTAATTTCTAAAGTTGGATTTTCCCCCTTAGCAGAGGGAGCCTCCTTGTGGAGTACTGTGAAACAGTTACCATGGCAACTCCACTGTGCTGCACAGTAGAAGCCATTTTACGACAGTACATTAGAAGCCATTTTAATACACAACAGGCTGTATCTTAACACACATCTTGAAGGGTTTTAGAGGTGTCTTACCCCCACAATATTTGTTTCCAGAAAGTAAGTCATCTGTGT